CCGGAGGCTACATTTGAACTCAGATCCAATGGTCTACCCATGTGAAAGAAAGAAATCCCCAGGTGATGAGGGTGAAGTGTCGGTTCTTTCTAGAGAAAATGGCACTTGGAAAAGCTTTGTAGATTGGAATATATCATTCTTCACAGCATCAAAGACTCTTAACTAGAACAAAGGGTGACGGGAACAGAATATATTTCTGACAACTGGGTGTAGAAACACTTGAGGTCTGAGATTTTTACTTGCAACAAAAATAGAAAATTAGAAATTAAGCCCAGCCTCAGTAGTGGTTACAGGGGTGTCTTCAGTTTGTGATAACTCATTGAACTATACATTTATGATTTTTGCATTTTTCTATATGAATATTATACTCCGAGTTTCCAAAAGTTTATTTTAAAATAGACCCTCCCCCCAAAGTTATTATAGGTAAAGCAGAGGATGTTCCAAGTCTGCATAAGCTAAACAATTTGCACAACCATATCCTGATTGTTTCTTTTTTATCTGTGAAAAATAAAGATAATGGAATAAGTTGTCACTTTCTGATAAGAGGCAAGTTTCTGTATTTTCACTTGGTCAGTTCATGATTGAGCTTCTAATTTAGAACTTTTTCTCTCCCTCCTCCATAGTAAGAAATTAAGGAAAACATTTATTTCTTTCACTCTTGTATTTGAAGACAAATTTCCTGTACCACCACAAAGCCTGCCAGTAACTCTCTCACAATCCTGCTTTTATTTACATAATCTTAGAATGATTTACAGAAAACAAATACCTTGCTTTCCCTCAAGTTTGGCTGGGACAAGTGAATCCATCAGTGTTTTGGGACAGTAGAAAAAGATGTTGAAACATTTGTAGACTCTTCCATGAAAATTAACATTAAGAAAGAAATTATTTTACTCCCTTTCATAGAAGAGAGAGTCATATTTTCATTTGGAAATAATATTCATCCAGAATTTAGCCCCTCATTTGTTCGGCAATCCTGACAAAAGGTACAAGCGGTCAGATGGGAAACAGAGTCAAGGTATATATGAGGGTACTTCAAAAAGTTCACGGGAAAATAGGATTAAAAGATATTACAAATCTTTCCATGAACTTTTTGAAGTACTCTGCTATGGACGATCATCCCCATTATAGCCAGAATAAATTAAAGGATGCCCCAAGGACCAACAATAGACTTTGTAAAGAATGTATCATTGAATTTAATATGAAATAAGTGTTAAACTTTTTTTAAATTTTAATTTTTTGAAAATATGGGGGTGGGGAAGAGCTCAAGTGGTAATGCAGAGTCCCTAAATTTACCTTTGGAAGTACAGGCTTACCACATAAGTAAGCTGAATCATTTCTCTGTGTTACTATGGACAACAGCCTAATTTGATTAGCTTATTTTAATTATATTCTTTTTTTTTTCAACATGCTAGTCTGAAAAATTTCAAACCTAAAGGAAAGTTAAAAATAGTACAATGATTATTCAATACCCCTCACCTAGATCCATCAATTGTTATCTATTGCCATATTTACACACACTCCCTCCCCCTCCACATGTAGATATAGGAGTATATCTGTGTGCATGTGCTGGTTAAACCAGTTGAAATTAACTTGCTGATATCACCCCTAAGTACTTTAGCATGTATCACTTTAGAACAAGGACATCTTTCCACACAGCCACTATACCGTCATTGCCCTCAAGAAATTTATCATTGATAATACCATCAATATAGAGTTCATGGGCCGGCCCGTGGCTCACTCGGGAGAGTGCGGTGCTGATAACACCAAGGCCCCGGGTTCGGATCCCACATAGGGATGGCCGGTTCGCTCACTGGCTGAGCGTGGTGCTGATGACACCAAGTCAAGGGTTAAGATCCCCTTACCGGTCATCTTTTTTAAAAAAAAAAATATATATATATATAGAGAGAGAGAGAGAGAGAGTTTATAATCAAATTCCCCCAGTTGTCATAATAATTTCTTTAATCAATATTTTTGACACAGAATCCAACCAAAGATCACACAACGCATTTAGGAGTCATGTATCTTTTAATTTAAAACATTCTTCTCCTTGCCCCTTATTTTTCCAACGGACCAGCTGAGCTAACTGGCCAGCATCATGCTCTTTTTTTTCTTTTGTCTTTCATGACATGGACATATTTTGAAGAGTCCAGGTCTGTTGTCTTGTGGCATGTCCTACAATCTAGATTTCTGATGGTTTTCTCATGATAGTTAAATATGTTTACAGAAAAAAAAAAAACTACATGTGCATATACTGTTGGTTTTCCATATATATCCCAAGTTTTCCAGTTTCTGAGACTTTGCTTATACAGATTCCTTAATGAATGCCCTTCTCCCACTGCATTTCTACAAGGCCTAGTTCAATATTTAAGCTTCTCCAGGAAGATTTCCCTGATGCTTTCCATCTGAAATAATCTATGAGTATCTGGGATACTTTAGCTTTTCTTTTCTTATATCATTTGTAATTTTTTTGACTTTGTATTATTATTTTTATCTTTTACCTTCTCCCCAGTGAAAGCCTCCTAAAAGTGGGTCCAATTTATCTTTGTAAATGTCCAAGTATCTAGCACATGTTGGTTCACAGAGTAGGCAATCAATATATACATTTGCTAAATGGATGGATGAATGAAAGAAAATGGTCACTCTGGCTTCTGAGATAGTGAGTTGGTTAAGAACTTAATATTTTTGGGCTGGCCTGGTGGCGCACTGCTACAGTGCGCCGCTTGGGAGCACGGCAGCGCTCCTGCCGAGGGTTCGGATCCTACATACAGACTGGTTCCCGCTCACTGGCTGAGTGAGGGACGGGCGCAGCGCCGAGGGTTGCGATCCCTTTGCCGGTCCCGGTCTGGTACGGGCGCGACAGTGAGGGTTGCGGTCTGTTGCCGGACATGAAAAAAGACAAAAAGGAAAAAAAAAAAAGAACTTAATATTTTTGGGCTGGCCTGGTGGCGCACTGCTACAGTGCGCCGCTTGGGAGCACGGCAGCGCTCCTGCCGAGGGTTCGGATCCTACATACAGACTGGTTCCCGCTCACTGGCTGAGTGAGGGACGGGCGCAGCGCCGAGGGTTGCGATCCCTTTGCCGGTCCCGGTCTGGTACGGGCGCGACAGTGAGGGTTGCGGTCTGTTGCCGGACATGAAAAAAGACAAAAAGGAAAAAAAAAAAAGAACTTAATATTTTTAAAAGGTTTGCATAATTTCATTATATGTATACTTTCTGCACCCAAAATAATCCACCTAATTTAAAAAGTAAATTTTAGTTTTAGTACAAATAAAACATGGATATCATATGCCTTGATATAGCTCTCTTAAAAATCATACTGTTAAGGATTGAGGGAAGCCTTTCAATCCAGACAGTTGATTCTTTAGCTTTGGAAAATAGCCCTAATATTGTTTCCTTGATAATTCCCTCTCCCACATATTTTCTGTTTTCTCAGGAATAGGTCCTATAAGTCAGACATTGAGACTTTTGAGTCGATCCTCTACCTCTCTTATCTTTTATTTTATAATTTCTATCTTCTGTGCTCTGAAAGATTCCTTTAACATTGTCTTCCAACCTATTATTGATCTTTTAAAATTTTTGAAATTTATGTTTTTAATTTTCAGGAATTCTGCTTTTGTTTTTGAAGCTGTTTTTTTAATATTGTTCGTTTCTTGTTTTATGCATATGCTATCTTCTCAAATCTCTACAAAAATATTAATTAGAACTTAATAAAAATTTTCTTCTTTTTCCTGCATTACCTCTGTTTAAGCTTTCTTAAAGCGTTCTTGTTTTTTATCTTCATCTGATTCATAATGAAGGCATGCCAAGTATTAGGTATAGAAACTTCTATGCACTGAAAAGCTGACTGGGAACTCTGTACGTGAGCAAGGTTTGCTAACTGCTAGGTTGGCTACAGGCTAATTAAATCTTGAGTTAGACATTATGCTTGGAAACTCCCAACTGTCAAAATATGGAGGTCTTTTTTTCTGAGATCATTCAATTTCTTTAGGAAAGAATCTTTTGGTTTTTCACCTGGGAACTAACCACCTTGTTGCTGAGTGGTCACCTAGCAGAGGTGTGTGTGTGTGTGTGTGTGTGTGTATTCTGTTTCTTAGTTAGACTATTAGTTACCCCCCTCCGTTTTCAGTCCCTTATTTCACCCCTTCTCTCTGTGCCTCTTGTCTATCTCCTGTGCATCAGCGCTCCGAGCCTCAGCTTTATCCTACTCTATCAGTTACCACTCATCTTCCCTCTATTTTCCATCTTCTAGAATTTTGTTGAAATCTCTCTCCCTCTTGCCCTTCTTATTGTGGGTTTATCATCATTTTGGTGGAGTGTTGAGAAGGAGTTAAAAACATGTATTCATTTGCCCTGGAAGATTAAAGACATGATTATGAGAAGAAGGTTCAGATAACATTGGGCGGTTTAAAGTATCCCTGAGTAATCTGGACAAGGGGAAAGGATTTAAGATACTGCAGAGAGAGTGTGAGATAAACTCTGATCATGGCTTACGAAGCCTGGTTACTTATTTACAACTGAGAGAAGATAAGTAGTGAAATAACTATAGAAGTTCTACAAAAAGTTATCAGAAAGCTTAAAGTTAAGTTAAAACAAAAAGTTTTCATTTGGCTGTGAAATCGTGCTCCTGCGCACACCTGAAGCTTTGATTTCCTCCAGATTCCTAGCACTTGACACAGAATAAAGCTGCAGCATCACCCTGGCAGGCCTCTCCCAATCCTACTCATTTACAAAGAATTTCCCCTTTGAGCCACCACGAACAACATTGGCTAGTTACTCACACCACAGATTCCTCAGGATTGGCTGGGACTGCACATAAAATACTGTTTGCCCATAATCACGTTGATAAGCTACAACATAAATGTACGCAGGTTCCTTTTCTTAGAATGTAACGTGAAGCATTTGCTCTCTTCTTTCCTTCTCACATTTTCATGCAGGACACAGAACAGACACATTGTCTCTGGTCAAAAGAAAAGGTCTTTAAAGGGGGGGTAAAGCCTGAAATGGGTCTGCAGAGTTCCAAAAACCCCCAAACGAAGCAAGCCCGAATTCTTCTTCTGGGACTTGATTCAGCTGGGAAGTCTACTCTCCTTTATAAATTAAAGCTTGGTAAGGATATTACAACCATCCCAACAATAGGTTTCAATGTGGAGATGATCAAGATGGAAAAGAGTCTTTCGCTCACAGTCTGGGATGTTGGAGGACAGGAAAAAATGAGAACTTTTTGGGGTTGTTACTATGAGAACACTGATGGGCTGATGTATGTTGTGGACAGTACGGACAAACAGCGACTGGAAGACTCACGGAGAGAGTTTGAGCACATTTTGAAGAATGAACACATTAAAAATGTGCCTGTCGTCCTATTAGCCAACAAACAAGATGTGCCTGGAGCACTGACCGCCGAGGACATTACCAGAATGTTCAAAGTGAAGAAGCTCTGCAGTGACCGGAACTGGTATGTGCAACCCTGCTGTGCCATCACAGGGGACGGGCTGATCGAGGGATTCAGGAAATTAACTGGATTTGTGAAAAGCCACCTGAAATCGAGAGGAGACGCTTTAGCATTCTTCAAGCAGAACTGAGGCTGTGAAAAGGGCAAAGCCTCAAAAGAGATACTGATGAAGTTGAAAGGGTAATTTTTTTCCATATCAAGTGGGGAAAAGCAAGTTATTGACTTGATAAACTTTTCCTGAGATGTTATTTCACATATGTTCATTGAAACAACTCAAAATAATATCCAGAAAATGTTTTTCTTTAGCGAGGAACTTTAGCAAACTATGTGGTTATGATTACTGAGAATGAAAAAGTTGTAATGTTCTGCAAAATTTTAACATGTTGGATGATTCGGAATAGTCATAAGTAGGATCAAATAAATTATCAATTTTATGTGACTACTAGAACAAAGTTTAAGTTGTCTGCTAATAGAGTCAGAATTCTTTTAGATTGTTTCCAGCTGTTACCGGTAGTAAATTTTCACCATGCTCCTATGAAATAGATAGGTGATATGAAAAATGAACTTCATAAAGAGAAAAGAGATTTATTGTTAACATTTTGTAAACTCTTATTCCCTAAATAAAGACTTTCTTCTAGATTCCTGCCAGCTTTTTGAAATATATTGCCGAGAGATTGTGTTCTTCAACAGGGAGCAAAAGTATGTAACTTAAAGCTCGGGGGATCAGGGTAGCACCTTAGAGTCTAGGGCAAGATCTGAGTTTAGAGCTCAGCTCTAGGCTGCAACCCCAAGACCTGCTTCAGTGGAATTCAATAATAACAGTCATTACTTGGGAACGTATGTTCAGTTCATTGTACTGATTAAACAGAAACCAGATCCAGACTTTGCTCTCAGAGACCTTGCAATTCACAGAGGTAAACAACACAAAGCTAGTAGCTAGGGTAGGGCAGTAAGTGCTACATGCTATTGCAGGAGAGACTTCTGACCAAGGGAAACAGGAAATGCCTCATGCAGGGGATGGTGTTAAAGAGGGGCCCTAACTCCCAGGGATGCCCTAAGGTGCAAGTTAGTCACTGGAAGTTCCCATCACCAGGAGACTCTCTAGAGGCGTGGTGAAGGAGAGGAGGGGAGCAGATAAAGGAACTAGAGATTAAATTAGAATTCCCCCGGGAAGCTCAGAACTCCCAGGGAGGCCCTAGTACTAACAGATGACACTCTTTCCTCCTACCCCACATCCACAAAGTACATTTGGACTACAAGCAGTCCTCAAGCCTCCACAGCAGCCCCTAGGACTCCAAAGCTGAGGCCACAGAGGAAAGTAAAGGTACAATAAACCAAGGGTGCCAACCCCTGATTCCTTTCACAGTTTTCTTCTCTCGACCATGATCTGTTCAGCTAAGATCTGAGCAGTTCTCTCTGTGCTACATGATAGGATCCAAATAATAATGTAGACATCCACATAATAAAAGCTACCATTGCTTGAATACATGTGTGAGCTAGGCGTTGTGCTAAGCACTTTCATACATCTTCTCAGTTAATGTTCACCACTGCCCTGAGAGAAACAGGCATTACTATCTCAGTTTTCCCCTTTCTTCCCTGCTATCCAGTCTATTTTCTTCCATCAGTCATTTGCTTTGTTTTCGATGTTAATTTCACCAGTCTTTTCTCTCTTTGGCATTTCCCTCCTGGTTCTCCCACACACACATGCACACGCATTTGTTTTTTTTTTTTGGGGGGGGGTCCCTCTCCTGCAGACTAGGGTGGGGCGGCGGGGACCGGGGTCCCAGGGCCAGACCTCCCCATGCACATGCACATGCATTTGTGCACTCTTCACCCCGATCTGCTAATAAAGCCCAAAACAGAGGGAAGGGAAAAAGACTAGGTGGACAATAGCAAAATATTCTTTAGCAGGTAAAGGGAGAGAGGCTGTGAATATTCATGTCTTCATATTCATTATTGTCATACATTTTATTTCAATTTTGTGCATTCCTTCCAGGCATTTCATCTGCATGTTTTAATGTTGTTTTACTTTATTTTTAATTTTTAAATAAATTTTATTGTGTACATTTGAGGTTTACAACATGATGTTAGGGGATACATATAGATAGTAAAATGGGTACTATAGTGAACTATAGTTACATTGACATATCTATCATCTCACACAGTGACTTTCTGTGTGTGTGTGACAGGAGCAGTTAAACTTAGCAAAAATCCCAAATACCATACAATTTTATTCTGTCATTTATCTGAAGCAAGGCAATACTTTTTAGCAAAATAGCATACTTCCATGGATCTGATTGTAACCAAAAGCATAACACTTAAATCTTTGAGATAAAAGTTAATATCAGTTAAATATTTCTATCTGATTTTCAAAGTATTCTGTGAAAAAAATCCCTACAGGACAAAATAAGAATGGCAAATAAAACAGTATCAGTGACTGACAAATGCTAAAATTAATTTGTCAGTTTAAAAAGCTGAACATCACTGTGTTCTGATGTTGAACAAACTAGGTTTTGCCAAACTGAGGAAGGAGGGGAATTTTAGATGGAGAGAGTCCTGCAGGTTTAGTGGCACTGAGGGGCAGTCACAGACTGAATCACTGCAGTGTGTTGAGTATGTGGAGGAACAACCCAAGAAACAGCTTCTGTTGGGCTCTGCTCTGCAGATCTTAGTCAGCCTGCTCTTGTTTGCATGAGCTCTCTCCAGAGAGATAAAGACAGATTCAGAGACAGACAGAGACAGAATTCTCCTTTGGCAATGTTAATGAGTATTTTAACATAATAACATAACCTAATAACATCATAGGAGTTCCAGTCCACCAGATTTTTAGCATAGTGTTCACTGTTAGCAGACTAAATTACTTTGCACATGAGAAAGCATGTTTTACCTTGAAAGTGCAATGCAAATGCAAAAGATGGTTATTAGATAACTTACCATATGAGTAGAATTTTCACAAATATTACCTCATTTTTTCTCACAAACTCTTATGAGAAGGAATAACAGATATTATCAACCCTATTTCAAGGATATGAGGAAACTGATTAAGTATTTACTGATCCTAGTCCTCTGATTTCCAAGATTAAATAAAAACACACAAGTGAAGACATTATTATGCAATAAATTTAACAGTAATGTGGCACATACAGATTTTATCATTAAATCTCCTTAATTCTATAAACCAAATGGGATTATTGGTCAGGGTATTTCTTGGGCCCAAACCTAGACAATATCTTCTTTCATCCTTCATACCCCACATACACCAGCAAATCCTGTCAGTTCTCCTTTCAAAATACATGTCCCTTCTGACCACTTCTCAACCCCCACCATTACCATAAGGCCACCTTCATTTCTCTCCTGGATGACTGCATTCTCCACACAGATTTCTGCCAGGAAGGTCTTCTAAAAATGCAAATCTTATCATATCATTCCCCTGATTTAAAACCTTCCATTCAATTCTTACCCAAGATGGTCCCTGCCTTCCCTTTCTCTCCCCTCATTCCTCCTCCAGCCACACCTGCCACAACATCAGAGCTCATTATAGCCTCAGGGACCTTAAACTTGCTATTCCCCCAGGTTAGAATATGCTTTCCTCAGGTCTTCAAATCTTTTAGGTCTCCAACCAATTGTGCAGAGGGGTGTTCCCTGAGTCCTTATCTAAATGAGTCCCCATCCCTGCCGCTTCTGACCTCTTATTTACTCATCTACCTTCTTACTGTTTCTTTCCCTCCCTAGAAGGTAAGCTCCAAGGGAGCAGGAACTTTGTCTTGTTCACTGGTGTATCCTAGAATTGTATTTAGGGCATAAATGGTATTTAAAAGATATTTGTTGAATGAATGAATGAATGGCTCGAACCCTAAAGTGAGGTCTTGTCAGTGCCCCACGCTGCCTCTCAGCGATGGAATATGGATCCAGTAAAACGAATGGTAGATTTGCACCTCAGACAGTCTCTCTCTAATCTCAGAATACAGTGAGCAAGTCCGTCCACTCCGGGGCAGTGTTCTCTAGTGAAAAGAGCACATGCTTTGGAGACAAAACTGGGCGGGAATTCTGCTTTGTCATCTGTTTTGGCCTTTAGGCAGGTGGCTTTTATCTTTCTGAGTCAGTTTTCTCAGCTAGAACAGTGACTTGAATAAGCAATAAACTATTATTGTGTTAGTCCATGCAGATTGGGTAGTAGTTACAGCCACCATCATTAAATTACCCTAATGAACTAGGATCATGCTCCTTGTTCTCCCTAGTGTACCTAAACCCTCCTTTTCTCAGTCTCCTCACAAACCCTCTTACCTATCTCCCTATATTTATTGTAGGACTCTCATTTGACTCATCTGAGGACAGGCAGGTAAGAGGAAATTTCATTTTTCTTCAACATTTTATTTTGAAAATTTTCAAACCTTTAGAAAAGTTGAAAGAAGTGAAATTAACACAGATGTACTTTTCACTTAAATTCACTAATCATTAAATTTTTTTCATGTTCGGGCTTTTTCTCTATTTCTCTGCGTGTCTGTCTGTCTCTCTCTCTACACACACACACACACACACACACACACACACACACACACACACACGCAATCATTCTGACACTTCATGCCTAAATACTTCATCGTGGATCTCCTTAGAATCGAATTCCTCTTACATAACCACAGTACCATTATTACATACAGAATTGTAAGCATTAATGAAATATTATCTAACAGCCCATAATCAAATTTCCCGCAAAATATTATTTACAGAATTTGTTTGGTCCAGGATCTGTTGCATTTGACTATGTCACTTTTAATTTAGAATATGTTCCCTGCCTCTTCCTGTTGTTCATGTCCTAGAAATTTTTTTGAAGAATTCAAGCAAGATAATTTATAGAATGTCTCATAGTCTGGATTTATCTGTTTCTTCAAGTTTAGATTCAGGTTAAACATTTTTGGCAAGAGTATTCTGCAGATGATATTGTACTTCCAACACTGCATCCACTGGGGAGCATGTATAGTAGCAGTTTGTCCTATTATCGATGACACTAAATATGATCACTTATTTTATGATAGTGTCTTCTAGATTTCTCTATGGTAAACATATAAACGTTTCCCTCTTTTCTTAATAATAATTTGATATGATAAATATAATATTTTGAGACTTTGT